TTCACCGAAGGGTACCCCCCACGACTGGTGTTGTAGAACTTTGTAGAACTATGAAAAAAAAAACTATTTTGCAATGAAAACCAATGGAATTGGGTGGTGATCCTCAAAAAATTGATAAATATGTTCACTGGGGACCTATATTCTATGTATGCAGTTCTGCAAGGAATTGGGTCTCTTCCATGTATAAGGGTATATATCATATACGTAATTCCCTTTGGGGAGTAGCAACCCTGGATGTCTGAAGTTCCTAAACTACAACGTTTCAACAAAAAAACAGGTCACCCGAAATGACCAATTTCTTTTTATATTGTATTAAAAAAATGAGTTTTTCAGGCTCACCGAAGGGTACCCCCCAACGACTGGTGTCGTAGAACTATGAAAAAAAAACTATTTTGCAATGAAAACCAATGGATTTGGGTGGTGATCCTCAAAAAAATGATTAATATGTTCACTGGGGACCTATATTCTATGTATGTAGTTCTGCAAGGAATTGGGTCTCTTCCATGTATAAGGGTATATATCATATACGTAATTCCCTTTGTCAAGTAGCAACCCTGGATGTCTGAAGTTCCTAAACTACAACGTTTCAACAAAAAAACAGGTCACCCGAAATGACCAATTTCTTTTTATATTGTATTAAAAACATGAGTTTTTCAGGCTCACCGAAGGGTACCCCCCACGACTGGTGTCGTAGAACTATGAAAAAAAAACTATTTTGCAATGAAAACCAATGGAATTGGGTGGTGTTCCTCAAAAAATTGATGAATATTTTCACTTGGGACCTATATTCTATGTATGTAGTTCTGCAAGGAATTGGGTCTCTTTCATGTATAAAGGCCTTATAAGGGTATACATTATATAATTACGTAATTCCCTTTGGGGAGTAGCAACCCTGGATGTCTGAAGTTCCTCAACTAGAACATTCAAAAAAAAAACGGGCACCCCGAAATGATCAATTTCTTTTTATATTGTATTAAAACAATGAGTTTTTCAGGTTCACCGAAGGGTACCCCCACGACTGGTGTCGTAGAACTATGAAAAAAAAACTATTTTGCAATGAAAACCCATGGATTTGGGTGGTGATCCTCAAAAAATTGATGAATATGTTCACTGGGGACCTATATTCTATGTATGTAGTTCTGCAAGGAATTGGGTCTCTTTCATGTATAAGGGTATATATCATATATGTAATCCCCTTTGGGGAGTAGCAACCCTGGATGTCTGAAGTTCCTAAACTAGAACGTTTCAACAAAAAAACAGGTCACCCGAAATGACATTTCTTTTTATATTGTATTAAAAAAATGAATTTTTCAGGCTCACCGAAGGGTACCCCCCACGACTGGTGTCGTAGAACTACAATGAAAACCAATGAAATTGGGTGGTGATCCTCAAAAAACTGATTAATATGTTCACTGGGGACCTATATTCTATGTATGTAGTTCTGCAAGCAATTGGGTCTCTTCCATGTATAAGGGTATATATCATATACGTAATTCCCTTTGGGGAGTAGCAACCCTGGATGTCTGAAGTTCCTAAACTACAACGTTTCAACAAAAAAACAGGTCCCCCGAAATGACCAATTTCTTTTTATATTGTATTAAAAACATGAGTTTTTCAGGCTCACCGAAGGGTACCCCCCACGACTGGTGTCGTAGAATTATGAAAAAAAACTATTTTGCAATGAAAACCAATGGAATTGGGTGGTGTTCCTCAAAAAATTGATGAATATTTCACTTGGGACCTATATTCTATGTATGTAGTTCTGCAAGGAATTGGGTCTCTTTCATGTATAAAGGCCTTATAAGGGTATACATTATATACTTAATTCCCTTTGGGGAGTAGCAACCCTGGATGTCTGAAGTTCCTCAACTAGAACATTTCAACAAAAAAAACGGACACCCGAAATGATCAATTTCTTTTCATATTGTATTAAAAACAATGAGTTTTTCAGGTTCACCGAAGGGTACCCCCACGACTGGTGTCGTAGAACTATGAAGAAAAACTATTTTGCAATGAAAACCAATGGAATTGGGTGGTGATCCTCAAAAAATTGATGAATATGCTCACTGGGGACCTATATTCTATGTATGTAGTTCTGCAAGGAATTGGGTCTCTTCCATGTATAAGGGTATATATCATATATGTAATTCCCTTTGGGGAGTAGCAACCCTGGATGTCTGAAGTTCCTAAACTACAACGTTTCAACAAAAACACAGGCCACCCGAAATGACATTTCTTTTTATATTGTATTTAAAAAAATGAATTTTTCAGGCTCACCGAAGGGTACCCCCCACGACTGGTGTCGTAGAACTATGAAAAAAAAACTCTTTTGCAATGAAAACCAATGGAATTCGGTGGTGATCCTCAAAAAAAGGATGAATATGTTCACTGGGGACCTATATTCTATGTATGTAGTTCTGCAAGGAATTGGGTCTCTTTCATGTATAAGGGTATATATCATATACGTAATTCCCTTTGGCAAGTAGCAACCCTGGATGTCTGAAGTTCCTAAACTACAACGTTTCAACAAAAAAACAGGTCCCCCGAAATACCCAATTTCTTTTTATATTGTATTAAAAAAATGAGTTTTTCAGGCTCACCGAAGGGGTACCCCCCCATGACTGGTGTCGTAGAACTATGAAAAAAAAAATATTTTGCAATGAAAACCAATGGAATTGGGTGGTGTTCCTAAAACAGTTGATGAATATGTTCACTGGGGGCCTATATTCTATGTATGTAGTTCTGCAAGGAATTGGGTCTCTTTCATGCATAAAGGCCTTATAAGGGTATACATTATATACGTAATTCCCTTTGGGGAGTAGCAACCCTGGATGTCTGAAGTTCCTCAACTAGAACATTTCAACAAAAAAAACGGGCACCCCGAAATGATCAATTTCTTTTAATATTGTATTTAAGAAATGATCTTTTCAAGCTCACCGAAGGGTACCCCCACGATTGGTGTCATAGAACTATGAAAAAAAATATTTTGCAATGAAAACCAATGGAATTCGGTGGTGATCCTCAAAAAACTGATTAATATGTTCACTGGGGACCTATATTCTATGTATGTAGTTCTGCAAGGAATTGGGTCTCTTTCATGTATAAGGGTATATATCATATATGTAATTCCCTTTGGGGAGTAGCAACCCTGGATGTCTGAAGTTCCTAAACTACAACTTTTCAACAAAAACACAGGTGACCCGAAATGACCAATATTTTTTTATATTCTATTAAAACAATGAGTTTTTCAGGCTCACCGAAGGGTACCCCCCACGACTGGTGTCGTAGAACTATGAAAAAAAAAAATGCAATGAAAACCAATGGAATTGGGTGATGTTCCTCAAAAAATTGATGAATATTTTCACTCGGGACCTATATTCTATGTATGTAGTTCTGCAAGGAATTGGGTCTCTTTCATGTATAAGGGTATATATCATATACGTAATTCCCTTTGGCAAGTAGCAACCCTGGATGTCTGAAGTTCCTAAACTACAACGTTTCAACAAAAAAACAGGTCCCCCGAAATGACCAATTTCTTTTTATATTGTATTAAAAAAATGAGTTTTTCAGGCTCACCGATGGGTACCCCCCACGACTGGTGTCGTAGAACTATGAAAAAAAACTATTTTGCAATGAAAACCAATGGAATTGGGTGGTGTTCCTGAAACAGTTGATGAATATTTTCACTTGGGACCTATATTCTATGTATGTAGTTCTGCAAGGAATTGGGTCTTTTTCATGTATAAGGGTATATATCATATTACGTAATTCTTTTTGGGGAGTAGCAACCCTGGATGTCTGAAGTTCCTAAACTACAACGTTTCAACGAAAAAAACAGGTCACCCGAAATGACCAATTTGTTTTTATATTGCATCTAAAAAATGAGTTTTTCAATCTCACCGAAGGGTACACTCCACGACCGGTGACGTACACGCATTTTTTTAATGCAAAGAGGGTGTTCGCTTGTATTCTCTTCTGTTCCTGACCTTGCTTTTCTTTTTCCTTTGATGCTTGTGCATTTGTCGGTACAATGATTGCCTTAAATTTGGCAAGCGTGATCCAAAACTTACCCAGAACCCAAAAAATGTTCAATCTGCTGGGTGTCACACATGTTTTCGATATGGGAATATCGTTATTCCTATGGTATTTGCTTTGGCACTGTTTATGCACTCCAAAATTCTACCCCAAATATTTCTACCCCAAATATTCTAAGTTTTTTTTTCTCTGTCCACACCCGTAGGGTTGAAATCGGGCATATTCTATGTAGGCGATCGTGATTATATATATTCAATATATATATATAATATACTATACTATATACTAGTATACATATGATATATTTATTGTAACATACATATATATATATATTATTATATTATACATATATATATATTATATTATATTATACATATATATATATATGATATTATATTATACATATATATATATATATTAAGATATTATATATCATATTATATAATATTATCTTATATTATATTATATTATATTTTGTTATATTATATATTATTAAATTATATTATATTTTATTATATTATATATTATTAAATTATATATATATTATTATATTATATATATGGGGACCCATATATTATATTATTATATTTTATATGGGGATGTTTCTCCACATATGGGGCTAGGGTTCGGTTTCAAAATCACGTCAAGCAATGCTATGGAGAACCCACAAGGGTTAAATAGGTAACATGAAATAAGCCATTTAGATATGCAAGTATACCCCACGCCCATGCACTTACTAAATGATGAGTAATTACTACGGAATGTCTGATGTTCATTACTTTCTTTTGGAAATTTTGATGACAATTTATCCGATTGATTTATACGACAATTATCAATTCATCAGCCCGAAATAACGCCTTCTTCCTCGTTGTCCATAGCGCCATTTGGGGATGATTCACGATGATTCCCCCAAGCATCATTTCTAGTGACGTCCGTCGCAACCTGGGAGTCACCATTTTCAGGGCCTCCTTGAAGGTCTCTTTGAATGACACCGTCGCAAAAGAAGGCTCAGCAGAGGGGTCCTGTGGGCCGGCAGATGGGCCCGAAATTTTGGACATCGAATGGGACCTCGAATGCTTGTTCTGAATCACAGAGATCGGTGGAAATTCCACATGAATGTTAACCCAGGATTCACAATTATGTTGAATTGAGACCGGGGCTACTATTCAATGTGGGATTTTCCTGGCAATGGATACCCCAAACACGGGATGGTCAATGTTCACGCTACAGTTAGAAACCATGTTTTGTTATCAACCATCTCATCATTTTGGGGTACACACCTGGGGTCCATACCAAAGTATAATACCAACTGATTTGGGTGTAAACCCAAGACCACGATCCCCAGTCAACTATAAAAACATTGAGGTACAGAATCAACCGTCGTCAACCGTTCCCATCCATTCCCCAGATTTGCCGTTAGTCATGCGTCCCTTCAGCCCTCTATAGTTATCTGACAGCGCATGGACTGCAGTCCATATCGTGGCTGCTTCGTTTGCCTGCAAAACTTTGCGCAAACCAGCTTCCGCTTGGGCCACGGGCAGAAAAACAAGTCACAAAGGTAGACACCTTGTCTTCTCCGAGAGTTCTATGGTCAAGTGAACACCAGTGACACAGTGGTGCCTTTGCCACCAAAGGTGTCAAAGAGTCTTCAGCAGGCGCAGTCTCTTGAAGTCGCCCAGTGAAAGATGGGTGGCTGCAGGTGACCAGGTGGCTGAAGGTTTGGTGCATACCAAAGGACAGCTGCGACGGATGGGTCAGCAGTGCTCGTGAAAAAATAGAACACAGAAATGTGTTCTGCGCACATTACCTCGACAAAGAGCCAAGGACCGAGTGCTTCGAGCTCTTGCCTTGGACAGACAGTTCAAGTGGATTAACAAGTCCATCCCCGTGCTGTCAGCAACCCGACCTTGTGAGCAACCGCGAAGAGCAAAAATCGCTGATCAGACCGAAATGCGTTGAACACAACCCCAGTTTCGATGGTATGTGCAATGGAGTTTGAGCGTATGTCCATGTTCGATGGTGCCCACAATGATTTTTACACATTCTTTCTCCATTCGCAAAATTTATCATTGAAATGTCGACAACCCTTCCAGTGTTTTTGACTTCTTCCATCACGAATAAATACCCGTGATCTTTAAAAAAATATTTCATGAAACGGGCATTTTCAAAAAATGTCCGCGTGGAACATTACATGTTGAAGATGCTTCATTTGTTCTACACACAAAAAACATGCAAAAAAACAATATAAACCACACATTTTGACTTCCAGGACTTCATTAAAGGTGCGTGGGTCCTAGGGAACCTAAGAGCCGGAATCTCATGTGTTTTATATTGTTTTATCATGTTCAGATCCTGCACAAATGACCCTTTCTCGTATATGCCGGCATAGGATGCTAGATAAATCATACAGTAGTACTTCGCCCCTCTGAAAAGTTAGTGTAAGTGATTTATATATACCTGGAGCCTGGAGCCTCGATCGTTACCTAAATTTACGTCCCATCCTCATTCGAGCACAATTTGGCGCAACGTGCGGAAATTTTGAGATAATGTGGAACATGCTGTTTGGAACATTTATATGATATCCCCAAGATCAACGTTGTAGAAAATTCACCTGCTTTTTTGGGGGGGATACCCGGGAAATCCCATTGTTTCAACCATCATTTTCTACGCCTGGGGCCACACAGTGAAGCTCACGGTCTGGTTCACCAAATCAGCCTTGACCTGACGGAGCCGAGGTGGTGACATCGAGAAGATGATGTTCCAATAGGGATTCCATATTGATGTTTCTGGAAGCGAAACGGAAACAGAAAGTTATTCAATTGGAACTGAAGTAGAAACTGGTAACTTAGTATGTAATTAGATTAGATGTAATTATATAGGTAAAGAAATTGGTAAAGAAACCGTTGTTCATAGAAACAGAAATTTAAAGAAAGTTACAACTTGTGATGGGGAATCCCATCCCCTCAATATTATATACATATATATATATATACACCCATTCTATGGTTCTCGAGGGAGCAGGAACCAAATAGATAAGCTGCGTAAGCTCTTCTGTCCTCAAAAAGGCACTTAGTGGCTCAAAAATTGAGCACCAAGGACCCCGCAACAATTTGCGTCAGTGTTGTCCTAAGATCTGAAACACTCCGCTCCTGAGTGTCTAGAACTTTGTTGAACAATCTTTCTCAAGAAAATATCCTTTCCTGGTGGGCAATCAAAACAAACTATTTATCTATTTCACTGTCAGGAACCCTGCAAAGCTGCTGAAGTTCAGCAAGCCTCCAACCAGTCGCCGATTTCCAGACATTTCACGCGCTGAGGGCACCGAACCACTTCATCATGAACTCGGATGCCTTGAGATTCTCAATGTGGGACCACTCGAAGTGACACTGTAAAGCTAAACCCAAGGAGTTTTATAGGGAGATTGCTTGGAACGCCCGGAAAATGCAGATCATTTGAGGGACCAGCAGTTTGGGCAGGAACCCAGAGCCAATCTTTAAGAGGTTCCAGCCCGAAGCTTTCTGGAGTGTGATTGGGATACGTAACTCACATGCATCATATATCATATATAATTATTAATGTATATGTATATATGTATATATATATATATGTATCGTTATGTATATATATTATTATGTAAATATATATATATATATTATTATGTGTATACATATATATATATTATTATGTATATATATATATTATTATGTATATATATATATATTATTATGTATATATATATTATTATGTGTATATATATTATATATTCTGTATATTATATATATATATCATTATGTGTATATATATATATATTATATATTCTGTATATTATGTATATATATATTATATTCTGTATTTTATATAGATATATATATATATATATTATAGTATATATAGTATGTACATATATATATGTACATACTATATATACAGATGTACTGTACACTAGATATACACATATACGGGGCAACTAAGCCCCAGGGATATAGCGATATGGCTTGATGTTCCTTTTGGACACTATATTTTTCCGAGGCACAAATACGTCCTGTGCGATTGGCAAAAATGGACACGATCTTTTGGATGTTGCGGGTGCATGGCAGGTCTGAGGAAAGGATGAACCCAACCTGGGCCGCCGGCCCGGTCACGGCTGTATAGGGATAGGTTTCAATTTAAAGAAGATCGTCGGCAATGTTGGCTATCTTTAGCATCCTGATGAGTGTCATTATATCTTGTTTTTCATCTTTTTTATTGTGATTGCTATGATATAATTACCATCATTGCGCTTGCTATTATTCTTCTTGTTTATGCTTATTAACATTATGATTATAACGATACTTCTCAGCGTGGTTTTCTGTTCTGGTTGAGGGTGTCAACCCCTCCCAGGCATCCCTTCTCATGGTTGGGATTTAAGGGGCTCCCACAGTGGATTATTATCATCTCCAATATTATATTGGGTGGTATAACCCCCTGTAATCATCAACCAACTGGGGTTGTTGATAATGCCCAAGAAAGCATGGGGTCTTCTACCAACTGTAGCAGCTGTGTAAAACGATACAGCAGCAACCATGAATGGCTGTCCAACCGGTATATTTATCAACAATTGCAACAATCAATTGTTGGGGTCTCTGTATATATGTATGTGTAAACAAGATGTAGATTATATTAGATTATATTACATATATATATATATTATGCATATGATTGTATATCTTATACACATGTGGGGTCCTCATCCTATATATCCGATTCCAGACAGAAGATGGCACAAGAGAACCAAAAAAAGATCTTACAAGACGCATATGTTCAGCAGCATGGATGAATGATCCTCCATCTTGGAATTACCACTCCCTGGAAAATGGGAACCTCATGGTGGATAGTGGATATACTGGATATACTGGATATACTGAAGCACTTTTGTGGGCTGGACGTGGTAGTTTCAGGCAGTCCTGACAAACTCGTGCAAGGCGTAGAGTACATGCTTTTCCTTTTGGTTTGTTGCTCATGACTCATGACATCATAATTTTGAAAGTCAGAACCTACAGTACCATATTTCAGGGGGGATGAACATTCATGAATCATCATAAATCCAAGCTATTTGGATGTTCACATATGTTCACCCAGCGCACACAGGGCTTTGAATTTTGAATCCCCAACGAAAACCATGGGTTTCAAGCGGCGCCATCGGCACTGCATAGTTCGCCTTCTGTGAATTGCACCTCGGGGGCTCGAGATGCCGAAAATCTGACACCACAGGATGTGCACATATTTCAACAGCTACGCAGCTACTACCCAATCGAATCCGACAACATCTCCGGACCAAAGAAGCGAAGATCTGTCCTCTCCCATTTCCCCATTTATCTACGTAAGAAATCATGAGAAAGAAACTGGTGGAACTAATGTTTATTGGGCACGGAAGATCTACAGCCAGAGAGTTTCCTGCATTCACAACACTGATCCTGAAAAGGACGAACTGCAGTTCGATACCAGTTTCGGAGTAGCCGTATACATATATATACCCTCTGGTAAACTAACATAACTATGGAAAATCACCATTTTTACTGGGAAAATCCACTATTTCTATGGCCATTTTCAATAGCTATGTTTGACATAACCAGAGGGTAACCCTGCATGGTTAGTAGATTGTTGGCAAATCCCCTTGGCTCGTCCGACCGGTAGCTGCGGAAAATTACATCACAAACCAGTTGCTTTTACCGGATGAATGGCCCAGTAGCTATAATAGCCCATCATAGCCCATGAAATATTATGATGGATATTGATGGATTCTCATGTGGAGGTTTCCTAAAATGGAGAAAAACCCCTAAATCATCCTTTTCAATCCATTTCAACAGGATTTTCCATGAAACCAACCAGCTTTTGAGGATCATTTTAGACTGGAAACCCCCAGTTTTCATGTGCTGCTTCCCTAGGTTCGATATTTCGCCGTGGCGCCGCATAGTTCACAGATCCGTGGAAATGAACCTTGTTTTCGCAGATGATGCTCAACCGGCCCTGGCAGGCTGTTGCGGTGCCAAAAATTATGTCTTAAAAAAAAAACCTATGTATAAAACATAATCTTCCCAAAATGACCATCAAGTTGGAGTAGCATGTTGAGACAACACAAATTGCTTTGCATCTTAATGTGGTAAGCACCAGAATAAACAGCCGACTAAAAATCTACGTACCCCATTGACTCCTGACCCAGCCGATTGAACAGCAGTGCGCTGTATGACTAAAACCCATGCCTCAAAAAGGAAGGTCGACCTACCGGGTTTACCACATAAAAAAACGCCATCTTCATGATCTTCGGCCGAAAAATCAGGTGGAAGTTGCTGGCAACCCTGTGGGGTACCATGCCCATCATCCCACTATCTGGGCTGAGAAATTGGAAAAAACTCCAGATTCCACTGGGTTTATCATAGTTTATCATGATATTCCTCATAGAAATTACCCTCGTAAACTAACATAACTATGGAAAATCATCATTTTTAATGGGTAAATCAACTATAAATGGCCATTTTCAATAGCTATGTTTGTTTACCAGAGGGTACCATAACTTCTACACCAATCTCTGGGGCCATCCGGCGCCCTCCGGGTCCTTGTTGTAGCGCTTGGTGAAGGTGCGCGCATCAGCCGAGAGAACTCCCATGCAGTTGTTTTTTTGGTGGAAGCGATGCGCCCGACCAAAGGGTGGCCCTGAAGCCGGGAAACTGCCAGGGATAACAGGGGAGAGATGGATGAAATATGGATGAAAGATGGATATATATATATATACATACAAGTACTAATATACTGTATAAGTGTGTATATATATATAATATATATATTATGGATGAGATATGGCTATGAGTCAAAACTAAGTCATAGCATCCCAGGTACCCTAAGTCATAGCTGGTTAAAAAAAGGTGGGTCAAAGACCCATCGCCAGATTTTCATGATCATCCCTATGGTATCATGACTGGTGGTATCGTCCCATCTCATGGATAAAAACGCCAGCAATGACCAGACTGCCATGACTGCCATGACCAAAAAAACGAGTCAAGCACTGGATCGTTCCAAGACTTGCCCGGATGTTCGACTCCATTGAGGACAGGTCTGAATTTCTGTTTGAAAAGGACAGGGTTTTTCCGGGTCAAAAGGACCCCTTTTGAGAACCATTTTTTGTGTCACTTGGCGACCTAAAAGCTCGAGACTGTCTCACATCAAGAATATCAAGGTCTCGTCGCTGGGATCGTAACTCAGCCGTCCCGTGGAAAGTCACAGGGAAAATTGACCCAAAATTCCTGTAAAACTAAACATAGTCGACTCTTGCTGGGTGAAACACTTTAATAAGATCCCAGTCTGCTTGGTCTTATCACAAAAAACCCTCTGTTTGGCTGGACAAGCCAATAACATCCAATAAGAACCACCAATCATCCATGTTCTCCCCATTAATGGAATATCATTATACATATATATATATCATATAATATACATAGAGTGTATATGAGTGGTCAATTCTTCGCCACATTCATGGTGGAAAATCGCCCAAAAAGAGATCCCAGGCCTTGGATGGCCGCCAGGTCACGGCCCTGACGTGCAACCTGCCATCAGGGCCATCAGTGGTACCCGGCCTGGTAAACATACAAAAAACTATGGAAAATCACCATTTTCAATGGGAAAATCCACTATAAATGGGCATTTTCAATAGCTATGTTAAATTACCAGAGGGTATTTTCAATGGCTCAAATGGGTAATCAACGCGAGGAGCCCTTTTTTTCCAGGCTGGTGATGTTGCCAATGAATTTTTAATCATTCTTTTTTCGATGGAAAAATTCAACAAATTCCAAAAAATGGCTCACTGCCTAACATTGGTAGAATAGGACCTCTCTCTGGTTTCCTCAAGAAATTTGCACCGAGAGGTACAGCTTCAGAAGTGCAACCCATTGCAATTTGTGGTTCCCCGTACGAGTTGTCTCCATCCTCATCGTTGCCTCGGAAAGACCAATTTTTCTTAGTTGGACTCCATAATTTGGTGCATACATCCCTGAAATCGATTTGCAAAATGATTTTCCGCACATGGCCATCTCATTGCATTTAATGTTATGTAGATCAATGCCCTTCCACAGTTTTGCTGTGCTATTTAATTACAGTACATCCCTGTAATTCCGGAAGTACAAAATTGGGCTCTATTCATAGGCCAACGGAAAAAGGACATCATCGACAATCTATCAAGTTGACACGCAGATCGTAATTTTTGTTCCATCCGTTATATACGTTTGTCTGAAAATAGAGGTATCCGTTCCTCCAGTGGTTCCAAAAACATCCAAAGTGTCCCCAATTCAATGGCCATGAAATGAGAGCCCTTCCCCAATTTTCAGACACATCATCATTTATCCCATTCTCTCCAAATTATTTTGGTAAAATCCCATGGTATCCACCTAGTACCTCATGTTTTACATTATTTTAAATACCATTATTGGTTTTGTACCACAAATCCCAGTTGGTTTGTGAAAGTTCTATAACAATAACATCATATCATCTAATGTATCCCTGTCATTTGCTGGTAAGGGTGAAGAATTGTTTATCCCTTGCTACCAAAATTAGAATAAAATTGAACGGTTATTATATAATATTATATATTCCAATAAAATTGCTGAGATAGATAATTTGAGATATATGATTGCATCTCATTATATCATCTACACATCTACTACAGTATAGGCAATATATATATACACATGATTTATCATCAATTAAATTATATATACATATTATGTTCCTATCATTGTTGTTCACAACATTAAATCCCTGATATCTTGCCTCATCTGCCTGCGGCTTGACTGGTGCAGCCGGCTGTGGCATCCTTGGTATTTTATGGGGCTGATCACTGGTGAACATTAAAGTTCAAAGGTTGGACCTTGAACCTGAAAACAAAGTTGCTTGATGATAGGTTTTAAAAAAAATATAGTTTTACGATGTCCCAAGCTGGGGAAATTCCCACAAGCTAAAACCACTTCTTTAAAAAATAACAAATGGCTTCGACTGAAAATAAGCTACCAAAAAAAATTGTCCTAGTCCAAAACCTCATTTTCTGTACCAAAAATTTCCGAAAAGTGACCGGTGTGAGACCGGTCTCAACATTGCCGAGCCCATTTTTCGAACAGAGCCCCTGGCTGAGGATACCAGCCATGAAAGTCATGAACAATCATCATCCCAGACGTGAGACGAACTGAAAAAACTTAGGCTATGCACCCAGATTTGTTTGGTCTCTATAGGTAGTGTTGAACATTGTTGAACCATGTTAAACCCCAGGTTTTTCTGAAGATAGGAGGCTGTTCTTTTGGCAGGCTCCGACTAGAAAAGGATGGAAAACTTGGAGGTTCTTCCCCCTGAATCATAGTCACATGATATCCACGGTAATCGGTAATCAGAATCATCAATCTTACAGCTCTAGGGATGACAATCCAGCATTTCCATGACGTGGGGTTCCAAGATGGTCCAAACCCTGGGCTAAACCCGTTATTGCCCCCACTTTGAGGTCTAAATCTTGGACTCCTGACTCCTGACTCCTGACCTTAGAAATCTTAGAATGTGACGATAAACCCCCACCGAAAGGCTCACAACTTGCGATCAACGAGCCACGACATGAGGATCGGCAACATCCCCAAATTCATCGGGAACTGCCCTGACACCATGGGCCCAAGGGGCCCTGGTGCCAGTGGCGCTGGTGCGACAGGTGCCACCAAGGGAAGAATCATCTGCGGAATCTGCGGCATCTGTGGCATCTGTGGCATCTGCGGAATTGCCACTGTGGGATATGCAGCGGTCTCGGCCTTGACAACGGTGGTCTACCACCGGCAAAAATCGAGCGAAAAGCAATAGGAATGGGGAGACAAGCAATGAAACTATTGTCACTTTGCCCCTTCTCCATGAAATTTGAAAATGTTGGGAGAGCTGCAAATTCAACAAAATTCCGTTCGAAAATTCATGCCATTGCGACATTACCAACACAAATTGCAGAAATTGTGGTATCCCCATGCTACATGCCCAAGTGAACAGTGGTGATTGTAAGTCCGCCAACTGGGCAGACTGGGGATACCCCAAGACTGGGTTGGTAACCATTGGAACAGTGGTCCCAGCACAGCCAGCCGTTAGTAACGACCCATGGTCGTTCTCTAAAAAAAAACAGGCCTGGCTCTGAAGCATTGGCATCTGAATAGGAACAGCATCCACAGGAAGTTGCCGCAGAGGCAACCTGAGCCGAGCCAATCATCTGAAAAATCTGCTGATCATCTTGCCTTTCAATAGCCATTTGGGATGAGTACTGCACTTTCGACCGAATAACCAGCTCCAAATCCAGCTCCTATGAGTCTATGATTTGAAACTACGAGCCCCTTGACGGTTTCTTGAGATTGCAGTTCCAATGCTTGAGTCAAAGAACAAACCGCTTGTCCTTTTGCGTGGTGGATTGCTGAGAGTACAGCACAGTTACCATCTGGTTTTTTAATATAGCCATGGAAAATCGCCATTTTTAATAGGTAAACCCAGGTAAACCATCTATAAATGGGCCATTTTCCATGGCTATGTTAAATAACGGCATGTTTGCATATCCCGATCCATCCATTCCACCGAAGGCACCCAGTAGGGCCAGGGAATTGCGGCGGATCAGCTCGCTCAAGGCCCTGGTATCAATTTTCTCCCCCCTGACGAATCCAATATCTTTGGTGGCGAAAAGATAGAAAAACACCCTGAGATCTTACTAAAATAAGTGATGAATTGCGGTTCAATTTTTCAGGGGTTGAAAAAAATTCAAGTAGATCGCACATCGATCAGAATATATACGTTCATACCATTGATATATAATTACCATATAATTGATATGGTACCTTATTTTCCCGTCGTTTATAATACCATTACCATAATTATAGTAATTTGATGAGTAGTAATTATGGTACCATAATACCATTACCATAATTATAATACCATTACCATAATTATGGTACCATAATTTGGTCATCAATTCTGATTAGTAAGCCAGCATGTGTCCAGACCCGATAGGCGCTCAACGGGACGATGATTACGTTGAAAAAAGAAGCAAAAGTCTGCAAAACCACCAACTAGCTGTGCTTGAAGCTATGGGTAATGTCGGATAATTTATACAACTTGGTTCGATACTACGTATATATATATATATATATTATATATATATATGTATATTATATATATATTATATATATGTATATTAAATTAATCTAAATTATGGATAAATGAGGGATGTTACATTGCCGTTTTTGATTGCCAAACGGTATTATGATGTATTATGACTGGGTCGCTTTGAAGCCAGTTGGAATCGGTTGCTTCCAATCTTTTCCGGTATTTTCCAAAAATGTTTTATAGATTTTCCCAGTCCCACAGATCCAGATTCATGGAATACATTGTCAAGTGTCTGAGTCATCAACTGGCCTAATGATCTGCATTTCCTAATGGCCATGGTTCGTTCAGTTGGTGGATTTCCAGAATGGAGAGTCTATAACTGGCATCCACTCGGTAACAGCACCGATGTGGGTTTGGTACCCATAAATGAGGGGCGGAATCCACTGGTTCGTCACAAGTGTTCTTCAAAAAATCTCCCATGTTCAAACACAGCTGTATAATATACACATATATATCATTGTGTATAAATATGTTGTATCCAATAACACCCCATTAAATCCAATGAAATCCCTCTGGTTGATGGTTAGAGTCCCATTTTCAGACACACCTATCTTGAAATGAGGAAGTCGATCATCTGGAAATCATCATCTCCCCAAATGGGTTTCTGCATCGCCCCCTTGGAATGATACCCAAGATATGTATCATTGGATATAGATGTTCATCACAAATAGCAAGTGGTGAACAAGCCTAGTTAATAAACCCGAGTTGTCAAAGATTAACCAAATTATCAGTGTTCTTTCATTGGATTGTTTTACAGGATTTTTTAAAACAGGACCCCCCCCTTTTTTTAATGGTAAGCCAGCCATGGTTTCCGGTTAAGATTTTCCCTTAAACCAATCCAATGATTCTAACTTGAGTTCCTCAGCACTAAGTGGGATCCAAGCTCCCAAGACCAAGGCCTCGGTCTCAGAAATGTCCACCGATCGCTCCTCCCAGTAACCATTCGAGATTTCCATCATTCCCCGTACGTACTTTATACATCTTTACACCGTATACTACCCAACAAGCCAATAAAAAAGGCTCCAATACAGTCTGAATCTTAGTGTTTTGCGATACCAAAGGGGGTCTCCCAATTGATTCAATCTACTATACTACCCATTGGATCATGGGAGGTGTCCTGCGCCCTTGAGTCCTTGCGGCCGCTTGAGGCCGCATCGGTGGCGCCCCTTTTTTAACCCAGCCCGGCTCCCCCAGCTCGCTCAAATAGCCATTCTCTGTTGATATTGTAACCCATTGCTGGTTGATATTGTTGATACTGAAAAACCAACCAGAAAGAATTGTTGATCTTGTTGGTTACATCAATTACATCCCCGTTCTTTCTGGGTGGTCTTTCCCGGCGTTCTCGGGGAGCTCTCCGGGGGGTCCCAAGTCTGATCTCCTGTGTCGACAAGAAAAATCAGGCGCCACATGATGATTCGTGGAATCCCCCAGGTTGCTGTGTCCCCATGTTAGGTGATTCAACCCTCCCAAATAGGTGAATCAAGGAATAAATCCTCCTGATTCGTTGATCCTGCCCATCCAAGGCTCTGCCAAGCCAACCCAACCAAACCTTCCAAGAATTAGAGGGGAAAATTCACAGGAAACCTCCATATGTTGGTAATGGTTCAGAACATTTACAAAAAAAACAATAAAACATTGTTTCCCAACGTTTCAAGTTTCAAGGGCCAAAACAGACCAAGAGACAGAACATAAAAACAATTATAAACATGTACTTGGCCAATTGATTTCCAGTATATATAATTTATATATATATGGATGCAACCAGCCTCAAAACCTTGAAATTTACTGAAACCTCCCATGGCCTATGGCCCATCCCGGATCGTCCTGGCTTGAAGAGGACTTGGGTGTTGTCTCCTGGCAAAAGGGCGACCTCACTGGCCCCGGATGTTCCCCAGACAAGTTTCAGGGGATTTCTTCAACCAAAGTGGAGTGTCTACCAACCAAACAGATTAGAGTTTAGCCATTTTACCCACCAAAAACGTGGCATTTCACACAATGAATGATGAGATTTTGGCAACCACAGATGGGGATAGACATATCCCATCAAACATATCCAAGAGTGAAATATGAGAAGGGATTCCTAGTGTGTCCTCTCTATTTAAACATCACTGTTCAATTTGTTACAGCTAAGTGCCCCAGGCCATCCCAGGCCCCTGTTAACAACCACCAAAAACAGTGCTTACACCTCTGAAGGATTTCTGTCCGGATATAGAGTAAGTAGCAACCATCTAAGATGCAAATGGTATACCGAATCATATTGGTTTACTTGGAATTGCGGATGATACTTGCCAACGAAAAAGAGGCCTATTGATACAAACCAACCTTTGCTTACATCAAGCGCTGATCATCAACTGGAGCTGTAATATGGTATCAACAAGAGTGGGGAAGAAACCTAATGGTTTACAGCAATTGAATGGCAAAACAGTAAACTTGTCATATTTTGTATGGTAAAATCCCTAGCTTTGAATTTGATGCTTGAATCCTTATTTTTCTTGGTTAAACCACCAGTGTAGCTGGGTATTTTTTTAAAGCACAATGTTTGTTGATGAAACCTCCAACCGTTGCGTCGCTTTCTCCTGGGAGTTGTGCACGGAAGCCTCGTAAACCGGCAAAGTGCCCAAAGCCTCAACGGATCACGGGGGGACTTGAACCAAACTTTGGGATTTTTAACAAGACATTGGGATCTATGGATTTACATAGTGCGTACGGAGGTAGCTGGAAGCTAGAAACAAAGGCGTCCCTTTGTTTGGCCGGAGGTAGCTGGAAGCTAGAAACGAAGGCGGCCCTTTAAAAGTTAAAAGAGGTGCTTTGTGGGTCTAAAGCTGAACTGTTTAGAGAAGCAATGAAAACAAAGGTATCCCTTTATCCAAAGTAAAGGGACTACCTTGATTTCGTCACCTTGTCGTGATTGTAGTTTTTTCTTTGACGCGGTTATGACCTAAGTCTTATCGTTGTTCTTTTCCCCTTGTCGTGGTTAGGGACCGCCCTACCTTCATTGGGACTCCGTAGGGCATCGGGGTTATGGCTGGAGGCGCCTGTTGAAACCACGGACTACTTGATCTTGAAAAAGTTTCAATACATTGTACCCTCTGGTAAACTAACATAGCTATTGAAGATTGTCATTTATGGTACATTTACCTAGTAGAAATAGTGATTGTTTATAGTTATGTTAGTTTACCAGAGGGTATTGATGTTGGATAATATTGGATCTTGATATTGAATATATTCTTAGATAACACTTGATATTGACTACTTATGACTACTTGATATTGGAGGCTGTGAATAACATTGAATAACAATACTTAACATGCTGAACATGCCATCACAGGGGCGTCAGAAGTTCAGAAAGTTTCAAGGGAAACCAACGGCTTCACGCTATGTGCCATGGCCATTTCAAATCATCTGATAGATAAGCCGTGTTCAAAACTCGACATATCCATTCAAAAACTGCTTGGTGTTGTTTGGACTTAAAAAATATGGATTGCCGGGGGGGGGATCGGATAAGCCCATATGACAGTAAATCAATCAATTAACAGGAGAATTCAACGCAACCATCGCCCCTGCCTGCTCTTGTGGCGCAGTTTCCGAGGCAGTGGTGCTCCACGACCTGATAGAAAATTGTGGTTTTACTATGAAAAATGGAGCTTTAACCAACCAAAATGGCTATGTATTTAACATTATGTAACATTATGTAACCATGTAAAACGGAATATTTATGGATATTAACCATGAAAAATGATGAAAAATGGGGATTTTGCCGCGAAGCATGGATATTGGTGCGTCCGAAACTAGGGTCTATCTGCCCCATTTTGGCATTTGATCATCCAACCACCAATCGACAAACAAAGGTACAGTAGTTGATCACCACCCCCCAAAAAAAACAAAAAGGATCAACATGGATCACCACCAAAGCTGGGGATGTGATACGTTCGGACCCATCCCCGAATGAAAACTGCCCCCAGTGGTGTTGATTTTCAGAGTGCCATCTTGGCCTTTGACATGTTGGGCAAATCATGGTGGCCAAAGCTCAAAGGTTGGGCATTTTTGGGATGGTTCCCCAATGTATCCCAACCATCATTTGCAGGGCTACTGGTCGACCAGGGTGAAGTTGCTTTAATTTACGCAGAATGATGGAAGAAGTTTCAGTCACAGCTGCCTGTTTGGGAGTACCGGACTCAGTTGGTTTGCGCTTCAACAGCCTGTTACAACCCAGCTATACAGGCAATGAACCTCAGTGAATATGGCGCGCAGGCAAAATTCTATTCCCCCAACATCACTCAGAAAGGACCCAATGTGAAGAGATCGCCAAATTTCCAAATTTCACCAGGCTGTATCTGGATTTCAAGAGATTTCAACAGTAGCGGGATTCGTTTTTTTCAACATCTCCAGCTGGGAAGCCCCACCACTTGTCAAAGATGGTCCCTTGCTGCATGCCCGCAGCGCCCGCATCCAGTTTCGTCTTGTTCCATAGGAGCTCCGTGACGCTGGACCTAACATCAGCTTGCAGCTTGCTGCGGAGGGATTATCATCTCATGTTCATCAGGCTGGTTTAAGGGATTTTTTTTACAGTGGCAGGCTTATGTTATTAGAATAATGGGGAAAAAAACAGAGCGTCCGACTTTTTTCACTTGAATCATCCCTGAAGTGTGAAAATGAAAATGGGTAGCTCATCATGATACTGTATCACACTGTATCATCCTCAAAAAGATGTCACAACCCCAGATCAACTCCTCTTTCTTTAGGCGTCACATCTACTGAGTTTGTCATTGGCTTTCTCTGGTACTCAAACAAGGCATGGCTGGGCAAATCTTGATGGGATAATTGTGGTTTAAACCATCATTGCCTTTCACTTTTCCCAAACAATAAATAGAGGTTTGAGATCTGGTTGGTGGTTTTTACCATCTTAAAAAATATTAGTCAATGGGAAGGATTATTCCCAATATATGGAAAAATAAAAAAATGTTCCAAACCACCAATAAGTTTAATATGGTTTAATTGGGAAAATGATCCAAAAAAATGGGATAATCGTCCACGATCATCTCAAGGTGGGAATGAATGGGAATGACAATCTCTGGTGTCATTTTTTTTTGCAATGACATTGGTTACTAGGCAGTGGTAAATCTACTTGGTGGTTCATCCCACGGCTCGTAAGTAGGTTATAACCCCAGTTGCAAGTAGATTAACCCTACTTATCCCACTTAGAACCAGGGATATAACCTACTTATCGTGAATGAAAAAAAGGTCTGGTTTTTGATATTCCTCTAATGGGAACTTGGGAACAGTCTTATTGTTATTATGCATCATTGGGCTTGTGGAGTTTACCACATTATTGTGATACAAATGCTGTTTCTTATCTCTGAATGCAAGTGCAGAAAGGATAAGCGTGGCTTCCTTCAAAATGAACGACCACATTTTTCAGGCTGGTACTCTGGTTTTCACGTGAAGACATCTGCTCATGAGTTTTCAGTCCTATTATTACAGGACGAATGAAAGATAATGAAAGTTTTGATCATGTTTGATCACTCATCCCTATATCTGCATCCATGCAATCTTTTGGTTCTGTTCTTTTTAGGTATTTCATGGTATTTCAGTATAAACCCGCAATGTCTATAGATGTTCCCAGTCCCACTGATCCAGATAATCCATTCGTTCATCCAATACATACTTGTCTAAATCATCCCAGTTCAATAACGGGTTAATCTTATCTGTACTTCTTAATGAAAATCCCATGGTTCAAAGTCATGACTGATTTTCTCAGCTATAAATACCTCCATTCAGATCAAGATGTTCCAATTCTAACACTACTTTACTCGAACAAATCCAAACCTCCATTGCTAACCCATACACTTGGAGGTTTACAGACCACCATAGTGTGACTTCTGAGAAGTATGACTCAATAACTATATAAGTATCACAGAGAAAATTATGACAAAGAAAACTATGAGGAATTATAGCCTTTGGCTGGGAAAATCTACAGTAAACATATCTAAACCATCGAAACATCGAAACATATGAAATTATAGCCTTTGATATGTTTAGATATGAAAAAACTGGGAAAAAAACTAAACATAATTGACTAATTATAGCCTTTTTGGCTGGGAAATGCCAGAAAAAATTGGGGAGAATCTAAAATCTAAACAGATCTAAAGCATCCTTCAGCCCTGCGACGTGGATCCAAGGCAAATTGGATCCCAGCTCAAGCCTGGCGGGAAAATCTCCAAATGGATCCTGTGAAAAAAAAAAAAAACATATTAGCATATCATAACTATAAGTCTATAAGCTATAGATACCAACCAAGATGATAAGATGTATCTATGTATATATATACATATATATGTTATAAGTATTTATAGTATTTATAAGTTATAAACTGTAGATGATCACAATCACACCAACTAAGTATTTATATATAATATGATTATAGATAAGTATATAAGATAATCTATAGCTGTTTATACTATTAAAAGAGTGAATACCAAGATGCATATCATAACTAAGATATCCTCAGGTCAGGTCGGACACATGTTCTGTTACGTATCAAAATGATTTGTCTTTTTTTCATAGCAAACTGCGAATTGAATTACTTCCAATTTTATGACGACGAAAAGTTTCTTTCATGTTTTCCCAACCTTTGGAAATCCGTAGTGTGTGGGAATGGAACATCCCTCCCATCCCATGGAGATACGACCCATCATAGTGGGGCCCCCAACCAAGCAGGGTACAAAAATTAGAGGCACACATAGGCACATAGGTATGGAAAATCCTTGGTTTCCCTAGGAACATGATTTACAACTGGTGAATACCCCATATCTATGTTGCTGTAAATCCATGTAAATCCAACACACCGCTAGAACATACCCCACAACACCAACATGGCCAGGTATGGCTCAAAAATTGAGACACCAACGGACCCACAAGTTTGGTATATTCGGTCAAGTTTTGTACCTAATTAGGAAACCATCACAATATATTGGGGGGAATTTTGCAGCAAGCCATGTTTGATTACCAGAGGGTCCCTAAAACAGTTCTATGAATTAGACCTGTATAATTCTATGACTGTGTAATTTACAATAAACGAAGAATTTGAAAACTTATACAATTACGTCTCTTTAAAATTACACAGTGTTTAGGATTCATATATACCCCCCATTTGATCTTAGATATTTCCCCATCTGGTTGTGTCTGATTTTTCATATACCACCAAAATTTAGCTAGATAGAAAAAAATGCGAAACATGCTGGTTTACCATCAAATTTCTTACTGGTGCTTAGTAATGGGGGAATGATCCATAATCATCCATAACAACTAATTATTAACAATCAACAATCATCCCATTTTCTCATCCCTACTGAGCACCAGTAAGATTTTCTCAGACTCCCATCCCGCCTTCGCCGTCCGAGCCAGACCCCTCCTCCGTCGCCGGCAGCGGCGGCGGCGCCACAAGACGCGCCTCGCCAAGGCGTTTTGAAAAGGGACGCGCCCGGAGGGGCGGTGTTTTTTGGAATGGAGCTGATACTATTGTTGTGTAGTTTGAAGATGTTATAACATATATAAATAGATATGTTGTAACTTGTTATAACTATTTGCAACTGACCTATATAAGATGAGTTTATGAAACTGCTTGATTTCACATGTTAGAACGTATTTTTCATAAACACGATGAGAACTAGATGGGAAGTGCGGCTAAGCCATCTCGTTTTACACCATATTATCAGTAAGCATATATTATCATCATATCATAGTACAACTTGTAGAATTAAGCCATATATTTAAGCCATATATCATATATAGCATATATTTAAGCCATATATCATAGTTTCAATATGGCAGTGTGTCAAAACCTATAGTACCCCTGTAGTTCACATCAAAATAGCTGGGATTCATGGATGTTCATCCCACTAAAAATGGTATTAATAGGTATTGATCCATACCCATATGGTACAATCATCCCAAACAAACTTCGCAATTATAATGACATCCCTTTCGGGTTGATTGATTAATAGAGGGGCCACCCGCACTGAATCACCCTCCTAGGGAAATGTCATAATAAATGGTGCACAAACCGGTGCCGTAACATTTTTCCCAGGTATGCATGTGTAGTTGGTGTGGCATCCAAGACTCAAGTATTCGATGAAGTCATTTTCAAGCAAATGACTCAGATTTACCCTCTGGTAATTTAACATAGCTATTGAAGATGACCATTTATAGTGAGTTTTCCCATTAAAAATGGGTGGATTTTCCAGTTCGCTATGTTAGTTTACCAGAGGGTATCCACTCCAAGATATTTTTCTTCAAACAGGCGTGGTTCGAAGCTCCTCCATGAATTCAATTGCAACCCGGAGAGGTGGCCACTTGCACATTAGCAAACGAAAATGTCATCTCAGCCACCCCCTCTACAAGTGATTCTCAATAACACTTCACCTGTCAGTGAAACTACCATATCGCATCAGCTGTCGATGTCAATGACATTGTCAGGTATAGCCATAGCCATCATCTCACTCACCCTGTGGCAATAGATAGAAAACATCTACAGAAAATCTCCCGGATGATGATAGTATGACGAAGGTCAAAACATAAAGAAATATGTCCACATTTCGAGTTGCAAGCGACCACAATTTCAAGTTACTACCGGCCACTTTTTGGAGTTGCAAAACCTCGCCCTTGAAATATGTCTCGATGAACGTGCGGACTCTGTGCGAGTGTGGGGCAATGTCCACTTGCAAGAGTCTAAACAACCTACCAAGAACTTTATGAGCTACAGAAATTTATTCACTCATCCCCCCCTCAGCATTTCAAGAACCAGGAAACTGGCTAGCTCAAATTTGACTGTGACTACCACGACGATCATCGTTTTCATCATGATGACAATACTAATGACCCAGCTAGAAATGGGATTATCCCCACTGGGGGATAATGGGAAATAAATTAATTTTAGGGATGATGACCCTAACCACCATTCCAGTGACATCGCAGAGGTCGGTCGTTCTATTTATCCAATGAATTCCTGCGTTATATCCCCCGTTCGTTTTGTTGGTGAAATCACCACAGCCAAATATGCCCGATGCTATTCAATATTCGGAAAAAACAAAACACAACCTCTGATAAACAACCCTGTTCATCCTGTCTCTGGAGAACCGCGACTTTCTCAACCCTTAGCGGCCTTAGCGCAGTGAGACCCAGGATGTTTTCCACTTGGAAAGGGAATCACTTCCGATGAAAAGTTGGAGATACTATAGGTATACCCAACATTACCCAACTAAATCAGGGATGTCACCATCACAATGGTGATTTTTTGCCACCAAAATGAGCTGTTTTACAGGTTCAATGAAGGCTTTGAACCACCTTAAACCACCAAGATGCCTGGGGTGCCCATCTGGGAAAGGTGTCCTGGCAATGCAATTCAATGCAATTACAGTAAACATATATGCAAATTCAAATGTGTATATACTATATACTATATACTATATACTATATACTATATACTATATACTATATACTATATACTATATACTATATACTACATATACATACAACTGTATGTGTATATATATATATCCATTTATAGTAATAACATATTTATGCACATAAATCTATACATATCTACATCTATTCAGCGTTACGGAGGGAGATATCCCGCGGTGGGTCCAGTCCTCATCATCTGTGGTGATGTCTTCCCACATTTTGCGATCATTCTGCCTGGAACCATGCGACGGATGTACCCTTTCAGCTGGTGACAATAGAAATGGGTATTCCATGGTAACCATGGTAATCCAAAAACCCCTGGAAAAAAGTTGCTATATGTTGTTATCATTTACCCCCACATTTGTTGATCTTTGAATCTTTGTTGCTGAAATCACCAACGTATTGAAATTAGGTGTTGAAGTCCGAGCAATTTCCGTTTGTTTCTAGCTCAGCCCAAGTCCGCCACTGCCACTGCCTCATCTTGAGCTCCTGGAAGGGTGTTGGGTTTATTTGGACAACAACATATGTTTATTTGGATAATAGTTGATTAATCAACAAAAATACTGATATAATGGGAATGTCATGGAATACATTAGTCATATATCAACTATCATAGGGATATAACACGGATTTAATGGGAGATACCCTCCGGTAATCAAACATGGCTGGCTGGGAAATCCCCTATACATGGAAGTTTCAATGATGGATTCTGCATTGCCACGTTTGATTACCAAAGGGTGCTTGTGTAGTTCTATGCTTGTAGAACTGAATATATAGATAGATACATATAATATAATTCTATCATTGCATCATTGAGAATAGATAGAAAGATAGATAGATAGATAGGTAGATTAGATAGATTAGATAGATTCGACAGATTAGACAGATTAGACAGATTAGATAGAGTAGATAGATTAGATCGATTAGATAGATTAGATAGATTAGTAATAGATAGATTAGATAGATTAGATAGGTAAGATAGGTAAGATAGGCAAGAAAGATAAGATAGGTAAGATAGGTAAGATAGATAAGACAGATAAGACAGACAAGATAGACAAGATAGACAAGATAGACAAGATAGACGAGTTAGACGAGTTAGACAAGATAGACAAGATAGACAAGATAGATAAGATAGATAAGATAGATAAGAAATATAGATAGATAGATAGATAGGATAGATAGGATAGATAGGATAGATAGGATAGATAGGATAGATAGGATAGATAGGATAGATAGGATAGATAGGATAGATAGGATAGATAGGATAGATAGGATAGATAGGATAGATAGGATAGATAGGTAGATAGATAGATTAGATAGATAGATAATAGATAGATAGATAGATAGATAGATAGATGGATAGATAGATAGGATAGATAGATAGGATAGATAGATAGGATAGATAGATAGGATAGATAGATAGGATGGATAGATAGATAGGATAGATAGGATAGATAGGATAGATAGGATAGATAGGATAGATAGGATAGATAGGATAGATAGGATAGATAGGATAGATAGGATAGATAGGATAGATAGATAGATAGATGGATGGATAGATGGATGGATGGATAGATAGATAGATGGATAGATAGATAGATCGATAGATAGATAGATAGATAGATCGATAGATCGATAGATAGATAGATGGATAGATGGATAGATGGATTGGATAGGATAGATCGATATCGATAGATCGATAGATCGATAGATCGATAGATCGATAGATCGATAGATCGATAGATCGATAGATCGATAGATCGATAGATCGAGATAGATAGATAGATCGATAGATCGATAGATCGATAGATCGATAGATCGATAGATCGATAGATCGATAGATAGATCGATCGATCGATCGATAGATAGATAGATAGAGTGCAAGCCTGTGACTAGTAGATGTGCTCCAAAATGCTCCAAAATCAATGGTTCGAGGGAAACCAGGGCTTTTGCCCATGTTCAATGATTTTGATTTCCCATCAAGAAATCCATGAAAGGTTAACTTCATCTGACGGGCACAACTTCTAACTGACGGGCTTCTAACACATGACGAAATTTACAACAGCACTGTCGCCTGACAGGCGCCGTCACCACAAAGATATCATCGATTATCAATCTCACATTTCCAAACATTTCAATACATATGTTTTTCATAGTTCATATCAATTATACACATAATACTGTGGATGGAAGAAATCCTGCACCACCTCGCATGGTCGAAACCCTATAAATAATGGGATAATAAAACACCTATCAACTGGTGATTCGGAGTTCGCAACCATCCACAGTATCATTCTCTCGTCTCATGCCATTTTGTTAAGCCAAACGATCTCCACATCTCCCATCCCCTTCTCCTTGGCCGCGCCGACTTGAGGCCTCTTGGCCAGCGCCAGGGACCTTTTCACGCGCGGCGAATCTGCGAAGACCTCGGGCCACCAGAAGAGCAACTTTTTTCGAGGAAAATCTGGTTGAAAATAGGTAAATTATGGTATATAAATTATGGTAAATTTAGGTTTGAAACCACTGGATTCAATGATTTTTTCGGGGAGTGAATCTGGTTGGCCAGAGTTGTGGAGGTTAGTAGATTTTGAGACAAGCCCATAGATGAGTTTTCTGTTAGGACCTCCCTCCCTTCTTGAGAACTAGATCGGAGGCTGCCAATCTTGCCAGGGATCGACTTACATTTTTTTCAAGAATGGGGGTATTGGCATGCAGGATAGGACCACTAGCAATTACTTTGAAACCATGCGCAAGAATGTGGTTTGGTATTCGATCCGTACGTGGGCCAAAAACGGCTAGTTTGACCAGCCTGATTTGACTTTGTCCAGAAATTGGATAGTATTCCCCATTTCATGGTCAAGTAGAGAATTGGGGGGAAATCTGGTTTTGAAACACAGGCTTTTGGGGGGTATCAATTTTTGAGACAATGTATAGATTGCCCCCTTCACTGAGTCGATTTCCCGTTACAGTAATTTTTTGTGGGCTAAACAATTACTGTAAATGGCTAGATTTGGGATACTTATGGGCACCTGATTTCATAGTCATGCTCATCAAGAAAGAATCGAAATGATTTGGAATCAACGATATGTTCATGTGTTTAAACCACCCGAATTTGGCGTGCCTGTTGTGGGGTAACATTTTAGACCAACCTGTCCCAGATCGACCTCGCCATCCTCGGCCCGACCTCGCAATCGCTGTCGCTCATGGCCGGCATGGCATCCCAGTCGTCCGACGGCCTGCGGAGCCGATGATGGGGGAAGAAAAGCACTTGGGATGGGCCTCTGGAGGAATCTCATCTGATCTCAACAAAACATATCAAATATGTGATTAAATCATCATTTAAAAATGAGTGTCTATAATATATATATATATCATGAAATATATATATATATATCTCATGAAATATATATATATATCATGAAATGAAGTTACACTTTCAAAATTGGGGAAAGCCCAAAGCATGCGTGATAAGAATCAGACGATCATCAACCCTTCTGGAGAAGGAAACTCATCCTGCTTTCGCTGCACATGGCAATCCTTGGCAAACATCCCCCTGCTGAGGGGCCCACCTCGTAGAACTTGAAATAGTCAGAAATCATTAGACACATAGGATATGGATAGGATAGGATACATATGGCCATAAGTAAAAAAAGAGATATGTCAGATATGCGCACATGAAGATCCCCACGCCCTCCTTAGATTTTTTTTCTGGATGATCGGATCAAAATGAATTGGTCCCACATGGGGACAGTGGGGTTGTGAGTTGTGGGGTCCCAATTTTGAGACATACCCAAATGGATCAAACCAAAAAAACAACAATTTTGGACTGGATCTAAGTGGAAGAAGCTGAAGTTGCAGGGGTGCTAGCAAATCTCCGAATCAAGCGTTCTAGAAGAGGAGCTTAAACACGGGATTGTCTAAACATTTGGGGACAACCATGGTGTTTACCCCTAGTCGTCCTCTGGGACGGTTTGGCCCCCATTTTTTCCCTTCGAAATTGCCATTTGGGGGGTATAGAATGGGTATATATACTGGTATAATCCATTTTCAGACCCACATCAACCATTCGCAACCGAGGCCTCACGAATGCATTACGCTCCATCCCACAATAGGCCTGGAGCGAAGGCAGAGCGTTCGGAGCGGAGGCTACCGAGTCCCCTCCGAAAATCCAAACCTTGACTGAGTGGTTTGTCCAAAAATGGAGGAACTTGGGCTACCCTCTGGTAAACATACAATAAACTATGGAAAATCACCTTTTTTAATGGGAAAATTCACTATTTCAATGGTCATTTTCAATAGCTATTTTGACATAACCAGAGTGAATGGGGAATTCAACAGCCAAATTCTGTGGGGTGTGTCCAAAGATGGGTCAAAAATCGCCATTCCATTGAGAACTTAATGGCAAACGGACAAATAAACCATTGGAATACCATTGGGATTGGGAGTAGACCAATTTCAGACAAACCCACTTCTGGCTAAAGATTGAAGCGAAGAGGGCCAAGACTGCTGGACCAACACCATTGTACCACCCGTCATTCGTTGAATATAATTACTTGAACTGGATAGCACAAAATGATTATGTTGGTTCCATTTACATCCACATCCAGCCTTGTTGTAGCATGTTGTAGCACAATTGCTAGAGGGCAAGTGACGTACGAAGACAAGAATGATTTGTTTTCAGAATGGATATGATGTGACCTTTTTCAACCGCCAAAAAAAACAAACGGTATATTTGGCCTCTTGGACTTTATGGATAATTGGTAACATGGCAACGGAAAATCCCCTATCTATAATCATGGCATAGACGATTTTACCATCAAAACATCACCTCCATGTTTGATAACACAAAAAAGGGATTCACCAGTCAGTCCAGTTTGATCAGGTAGCGCCAAGATGATTCTGATGGAAATGTCATGGCAGTTTCGTTGTTGAACTTTCCGTCCCCAAAAAATGGGGCAAGTGAATTGAAACAGCCAGTATACATGTATTTGTATGTGTGTATGTGTGTGTATTTGTGTGTGTGTGCGTATGTCTGTATGTGTGCAAATCTGCATGTCTCTATGTCTTTATGTCTCTACGTCTCTATGTCTACTCTATGTATGTCTGTGTTTCTGTCTGTCTGTCTGTCTGTCTGCCTGCCTGCCTGTCCGTCTGTCCGTCTGTCCGTCTGTCCGTCTGTCCGTCTGTCCGTCTGTCCGTCTGTCGGTCTGTCGGTCTGTCGGTCTGTCGGTCTGTCGGTCTGAGGATAGACGGATGGATGGATGGATGGATGGATGGATGGATGGATGTATGTATGTGTGTATGTGTGTATGTGTGTTTGTGTGTTTGTGTGTTTGTGTGTGTGTACCATCTGAACAGATGTAAAACTTCTGATTGGTTTTCACTAATTTGCAGGGGGCCACGGCTCCATTCATCAGTCCGTGGCCAACGAAGCTACTGATGTTTGGAGAGGATATGCAGTCTGATCAACTGCACGTACCTGCTTTTTTCGGACATAGCAAGGGGCCAAGCTTAGAACCCCAACCACAATATTATACAATTTGCTGCACTGTTGTCGCAATCTGGAATCAATTTTGAAATTTACATGCATCAGAACCTTCCTCAGATTTTCGCCGAAACCATATCGCCGACAGTATTATGTTTTTTGACTTATTTTCGCCGAGATCCCGTCGCCGACGAACTATGGGTTATTTTGGGAAACAATCGCCGAAACATTATTTTGGATTTCCACATGCTGGTCAAAACTCTATGGAATCTGGTTATGACTACGTTTGACAATTTCGGATGCCCTACATCGTTTGCGAGAAGTACCTCATGTGGCTCTTTTATTCATCTAATAATCTAGGCTGGTTTGCATGTTTCAGGATTCAGTTCCTGCCGGATCATATAATGATCCATTCTTGTCTAGTGTGATTTCCATGGTGGCTCCGACATGGTGCCATGGAGCCATTGGAGGCAACCCTCTTCAGGGTGAGTGTTGACAGACTTGAATTCTGAATTTACACTTTTCAACTCAGTAATTCATTTAAGTAAAGTGCAACAGCCAGCCTTTCGGTTATTCGCCTTTTGTGATGTCCCGCCGCTCCTATTGTCCCAGGGACCCCAGTGCTGCGTTCTTTCAAGGGAAGCCATTCCGAATGTTCTGAAACCTCCGTTTTTTGCAGCTGCTTTGCAACACCGTTGCATCAAATCATGACAGAGAAATCAGGCAGGCACACGACTTTCAGGTGTGGTGATCCTTTCTTTTGATGGTTGTCTGGTGAGGTGAAACATATTGTGCACCTAATTCGTTGGAACTTGAAAGCTGTTTTATGCCATTGCGGCACGACTTGACCACGGTCCCGGTGCAGGGAATAATTGCACGATTTTGTAGGTAGTTAGGGACTGAATCCTGTATGTGAAACTTTTTACAATTGTCCACTTTTGTTTTGACCTACTGAAGCGATGCATCCGTGGAACACTCCAACATCATGGCCTGCTCCACCACAGCCTTCGAACCCATCTTCGACGTGGCCGCAATCGACACCGAGTGCACATTTATTTGGACATCCCTCGGCTTTGCATCCTACATGGTCATCCTCCGCTTCGCTCATGCCGTCTACATCCGCCCCAACATCGTTGCCGTTCACCTCATTGACTTCGGCTCCTCATGCAGTACCAGGTCCACAACTTGTACCCACCATGCCTTCACCTTTGGCTCCTGAACCAACTATGGTACACACCGCTCCGTCGACTTTTCCATCTCCTATGGCACCTACCGCTCCACCCGCGTGGCCTTCCACTTCGGCTCCATCCCCTACATCGACTACACCACCTACATCGACTATGACACCGACTCCTTTGCCCAGTTCTCCATACCCACCTCACCACATTCAACCTCCATTACAGATGGACGCATCGACGATCCCTCCAAATGAGCCTTCACCACGGCCCCCAGCAGTCAAAGCAGCTCCCAGGCATCGCTCTGACAAAAGACCGGATCGACCGCGCAGACCAGCTCCGAAAACTCCTCCTCACGCTACACCATCGACACCTCAGACAGCACCGACTTCATCCGTTCCACCTGAACTTGCATCCCTGGGTTCCACTGCACAACAACTGGCCGAATCTGTTCGACTTATCCAAGCTCAGCAACTATTACTCATGGATTCTCAACGGGCACAAGAACAACGTCAACTCCTTCTTCAACAAGATGAACATCCACCGAATCCTACACCACAGATACCGCCACCTACACCTACACCACCACTGATCGCCACGCCTCCACCTGCACCAAAGGCCAGACCCACCGAACCGGACGTTCAGGACCATCGCATTGTCCCAGCTCCAACCATCGCTCCTCCTCACCAACCACACGGTCCACCACCACCAACACGCCGACCACGATCCCGAACTCCAAGATCACGTTCCCATCGACCTTCTATACATTCCTATCGCCTTCGCCATTCTCCTCCACGTACAGAGCGACCTCGTTCTCCTCTCCCTCGTCATCGATCATCTACGAAAACCGACAAGAGCCGCAGAACACCATCTCCATACAGACGACGCTCACCACCACGACGCCGCTCTCCTGTGGTCCCTCGACGTCACCGCTCCCATCCACGCCCACGCTCCGCGACACCACGTCACCGATCCCGAGGCCGTGAAGTCATACTTCGACCTGCTGCAAACCCATCCAATCCGAACTACATTCCTACTCCTGATGCTGATGACACCTGGGGTACATGGAACGAAAGCCACTACAACGACGCCTACGACCACCACACTGCTCGACCCAATTCTCCTACTGATCCACCACCATCGGAACCACAAACCAACCCACCAACCCACACTTCAGCACCACTCGGCGCGGTGTCCTTCCGAGTTCCGGACGGCGACAGTGAAAATTCTGAGGTTGCTGATACCATTTCGCTCACCAAGTTTGACACGAATGACATCGACCTCGATGAAATGGTGGCGGCGGCCAATGACCCCCATAGAGTTCGATGCCTGACCGAGCTTGGCCCCGATCATGTTGTTCCTCTACGCCAATCATTGACCCCGGCTATCTTGCAGCTCTTCAACCAGTTTGTGGACGCGATGTTCGAACAGTTGGCTAAACCATACCGCACCGTCAACAACCATCGTATTTGGATCAAAGCCAGCCAAGCCACCGTCAGGAATATTGCCAGGGCCTTTGCACAATCCGACTTACTGGACATCGAACTTGCAAAGCAAACACAAGCCTTCTATTTTGAACCAGAGAACTTGCTGACCATCACGGTTCCCACAGGATTGAAGAAGAAACCAATCTACCGTGGCGAACACATGGGCACCTACCTGATCTACCACAAGACAAGTTGGGAATCAGTTGCCAAAATTCTTGCTGAAGACTGCATCCGCCCGGCAACTTGGACAAAAAACGAAGCCGGTATACCGACCCAATACCCGTGTTACGGGTTCTTCGGAATGTCCTCTGAGATCGCAGACACCGACAACCTACCCGGCTATGCTGTCAGGATTTGTACCTCTCAGCTTTACAAAATAGGCAAAGGACAAAACCCATCAGGCCTGCTGGCCATATGCCGCTCACCCAAATGCATCCGTGCCCTAGCTGGAGGAAATGACCAAATCCAACGCTTGTGCAACCTTGCGGGCATCGCCAAGGGCAAAGACAATGCAACGGCTATGAACTCAAGCGCTGCATCTATATGCTACGTCGCCTCCACTCACCAGGTTTTCCCGGGCTTGATCACACACCAGACTGCGGAGACCAATGCACCTTCGGAACCTCCTGATGATTCTGCACGTCCAGTACGACCTGACCCTTCTGCCGACGCCCCAGAACCTTCGGAGCCGGCCCCGGACGACTCTCACAATACACCGAGCCGCCGCGAGACTGCTACCTCTGGCTCCCGGGACTATGCTCGCCGATCTTGGCATGACAATGCTGCTTGGGACAATTCCACCTACAGCCGCCGAGATCGCCGATCCTCATATTATGACGACCATTCTCGCGCCCAGCACCATGAAGGCCGACCTCGTTCTCGACATTCGACCCACCACTCCAAATCTCGTTGGTGAATTCTTTACCCTTGAGGAGTACCAGAACAAGTATCGACTATTCTACGTCGG